ATACGGATGGCACTTGCAAAATGAAAAAAAAAATAACCAAAACGCAAAAAAAATCAACGCACCAATGCCAAAGCAGCCCATCCTCGCCAAAGGACTATTTCGTACAGAGCTCTAAACAGGCGACCCGCAGATTGAGCAATGAACACCATGTCGGATTGCAGAGCAAAACCATCCAGTTTCAACTGTGAAATGTAGGCCTGAAAGGATAAATACGAAATAATTGCCTCAAAGGCAGTCCCCGCGCTCAACCATTCAGTAGGCGTCATTTCTAGTTCAATAAGTCTGGTCCGCAGTCTCTAGGATTGTGCCACTTTCGCAGTTTCAAAGCAAGTGACCAAGGCACTGCGGCCCTCACAGGACGCAGTTCTGATGCCTTCCTAGTTGTCCCACCTACCAAACAACGTCTATTTTCTGTCATGGGCCCAGTCTTTTTCACTAGAAGGAGTGCATCGGATTACGTGAAGAAAGGACTCTGTGAGACAGGATATCACTTTGTTGGTTTAAAACGACCAGGTCCGTAGAACTCGCACAGTGGGGCAGCCAGGGGATCCTTGGGGTGTTGCGGAGTCAGGGGAGCGACTATAGGTTTCTGTTGAACGCCATTATCCGAAAGATGCAATCGCTGCGGATTTTTTTCTGAAGGGAAGTAAAGAAAAAAAACAATGAAGAAATTACCTGAAGAAGAACATTAGTTTTTGCGCTGCTTTCATCAAGGCTTTCCTTGATTGGTATGGGTACATGTTCAGCTAGCTTTTGCAACTCAAGCTTTTCTTCCTCTCGAACCTTAACAGAGAACATTTCGTACTACAAACACATCAACCGGGGCCCGCCTTCGGGAGTGCGACGATGGCTGAAACGAACTGGTTACCTACCATGATATTTTTAAATTCACTGGATAAGGAGAAAATGCGGAACAAGTCGATCTCCGTTGCCGTTGGTTTCAGAAGTTGGTTGTATGTTTGCATAGACTCATACGTGCAGTAGTAATGAGATGCAATTCGTCCTAATTCAGTTGCCTGGAGAATAAAGAAAATTTGACATCATATCGGACCGTTTAAAATGAAGAAAACGATACCGTAGTACATTCTTACGGTCATGTATGAAAACGAAATTATTACCTGGATCAACCCGCTCTTTTTGTCATATTTCACCAAGTTGCCTTTGTCAAGTTGCAAGCACGATGTGTGTATAAGATCCGCGCGACGTTGTTCAAGCAAGGGATCAGCTTTCTGAAATTTTCCGGACTGTGTTCATCTGTTTACTTACTGGTGTTATAATATCACGCATGCGAGTAAGCAACAAAACACTTTTGCGAAGAAAGTCGCCTTATTCTCCGAGTGTTCCAAAAATCATATTGGCAGGAATTCTCGCATAAAACAAGCAACATAAACGCTGAGTATTCCTAGAAAGGAAAATGGGCGGAAATCTCTGCAGCAGATCCTACTTAGCCGACCGATATCCTGCCTCGTTCGCCATAACTCCTGCCCTGCTACGCGGATCAAGTTGCCGGTTTCCTTCCGGAAAACTTGGAGCCAAGCGGGTTCCACGTCAGGATCTCCGCCCTTTTTCCTCTCTGGACGTGCACGCTTCGCGCCCAGATTATTCGCCTCAGGATGTTGGAGGGGACGCCACCGTGGCAGTTGGTCAAAACTGGCAAGAATCTTCATGCCTTGGTGCTGCTGTAAGAGTTTCTTAACCCCATCCTGGAAGGCAATTCAAACAGCGAGTACTGCAGCATCGAGACATGAGGTCTCCCCCAATTTTACCAGCGATCTCGGGCGTTGAAGCTGTTCCAATATTCCAAGCAGGTAGAGCACCGGAGACTTCAACATTCGGATATAGAGGTAGGTATAGCCTAGCCACGACATGGCGTCGCTGACACTGCTAACTGTACCAAGAACGACTTCGGCATTAAGCATATCCGGCAGCCGAGCTATCATCTGGCTTTCCACTGGCAGCTAAAAAATGAAAATAACTCCTTGCACGAGAAAACATCAAAGCCAGGAGGTATATCCACAAACCTGTTGATTCATACGAGTGATTCGTAATGAGGATTCCTTTTCCTTTAGAGTCATACTGTGGACGACCAGCGCGACCAAGCATCTATAAAAACTGGAAGATGAGATAAAGCAATATAGATCCTTATGGCAGCGCACCTGCATAACATCTAGGGCACCAAGTTCGGTCCACCTTCCTTTCTCTGGGTTGTATATTTGAGTACCTTTGATGATTACAGTATGCGCTGGCAAGTTCACTCCCCACGCTAGAGTGGCGGTAGAAAACAGCACCTAAAACTGGTACAATTGCAAATCTGGTTGGGTTTAGAAGGACTATGTAAAGCGTTGCGAATGAAAAATTAAATACTTGCGAATTATTTCTCTCAAACATTGACAAGGTTCAAAATGATGGAATAATGTTCAGCCAGAAAAGTTTTTTTTACTTCTAAAACCTTTTCGAAACGTTAACAGAAGAGCAACAGAAAAAAACCATCCAAAAAAAGCAGAACTCATGGTTCTCCCGACAAAAGGAATTGAAATTTCATATTATGTATTTTCAAAACAGAAAAAGATATTTAAAGACCTGAATGTGCTTGTCGGCGAATAGATCTTCTACAAGCGTACGGTCAAGCCTGTTCATTCCAGCATGATGAATGGCAAAGCCATATGGAAGCAGATCTTTCAGTTCATGATTTTTCACCTGAAGAGGAAAGAAGACTAGTAAAGCAAATGCGAAACACGGTAACAAGACATTGTTACTCACTTGCTCAGCCTCAGTTCTAAGAATCTCTGTACTTGCACTTCCTTCGCGCATGAAAGCACTGAGAGTATCCTTTTCGAGACAAGCGTCACGAATTGCCTTCGCTGTTTTAGCTGTCTCCTTTCGAGAGTGGACGAAAATAAGCACCTAATATGGCAAAGATTAACAAAACCAAACAGACTGCAGGGAGTGAAAACATCAGCAAAAACCAACCTGACTTTTACCGGCGTGCTCCATGATTTTGTCATAGACCACTTCGTTCATTGCTTGGAACCGTTTGAGTGCTTTCTTCTCAGTGACTCCTGAAAGGTTCATTCAGTGACTAAGCTTTTGGGATATAAAAACCATTTTATACCTATATATTGCTGCTCTAGCGGTACAGGTCGATAACTGTTATCGAAATAATAAAGGTGCTCAGGCTTCACGCGTAGGAAAGTTCCAACATCCTGATAGTTAGGTAGAGTAGCTGACAAGCCAACAAGGCGACAGTCATCGTGTGTCTGTTCGACCTGGCGAAGAGTTCTGCAACGAATTTGATGCACAGCGTAGAAGACGTCAAAAATAACAGAAAAACAGCACCTGACTACAATCGCTTCAAGGACAGGCCCACGATCGTCATGTAGCAAATGTATTTCATCGATAATTACGAGCCGTACCAGTTGACTGTATGCGCGCTCACCTCCTGAACAGGATTTGTCTCCGCTTCGAATCATATATACCATTTTCACTTTGAATTCACAACTTTTCAAACCAAAACCCCACTTTCCGAGTCATATTCACCACACTTTTAGGGGTCGGGGCACACATCACCGCAAGTCCATCCCCGACGGCCGCGCCCACTTGTCAGCGCGGTCATAAATTTTCAACTTTTATTTTGTAAATTCTTCTTTTATGACCTTTGCTACTTCTCACACGCACATTGACTGAAGAGGACTATGCATCGACACATAGCCGACTCCGCCGACTTTCAAAAGAATTTCTTGCGAACATCGGATTTTCATAACTTTTTCCAAGTTCCTTGATTTCGCATCTACTCTTCAGAAAACGAGGGCACTTATAGAAGCACATTTGTGCACTGGCACACTAAGTTCCGCCGCTTGGTTTTTCGCTCCGAGCGACGAACGAGACCCTAATATGCCAGCTAGACCTCTAGCCTTCCATTTGCATTATTTTTTAAGGGGTCGGTCACGCGTCGATATTTAG